CCCAAGAAACACAATTTGATTAACCATGTTGTGTTTGAGGTGTTTTCCCCAAAAATAGTAACATTTTTTAAAAAAAAACACAAAAATAAAATGAAAACATGCGAGAAAAATGTGAAAAATGCTGTAAAAATGTGAACATATGTTTAAACATGTGGAAAATTGATCAAAACATGTGAAAAATGCAAGAAATAGAAAAACATAAAATTTCATGCGACCCTGCTCTGATCTAATCCTACTCTGATCTAGGTAGTTAAATTTTTTCTGGTGATACAAGTCATCTTGAACCTGATGAACGACCTTCGTATGCGAATTGACTTCTCTAAATCCTGGTGCTGTGGTACCACCAAAGCCTTTCGAAAATTCTGGACCGCAACTTCCCACTGGCTTTTGACACCCGGATTCAAGTTCTCTGTTAAAAACCAGGTACATGACCTTGGATGTACCATCTCGTTCACAGATAGAGTCGTGCTTGGGCCTTTGCGGGACAAGATTGACAACGCAGTCGCTAAATGCAATCGTCTGAGACGCCTTAACCTTGCAGTAGATGACCGAGCAGAGATGGACCATAGGTGACCGCCATTTTGCTACCCTACGACGGGCTGCTACAAATGTCCTGGTCGGTGACCATAAGCATGCATCAAGCCATGTAGCCTTACATTTTTTAACCGACAGGGTCCAAGACCCATTACTATATATTATCACCAATATGCTCACCACATTACGCCGCCTGTTTGCCTACTACCCGAGACTTGCAGCACAGATTGTGACCACGGTTCGCATGTTCTCTGGTAAAGTTCGCGGTCCTGCTAGCGCGCTAGCCGCTTCCCTGGCCAAGGTAGGTTGGGAGCTGACAGCTAACGCCACAATTTTAGGTCCAGGTGGCCTCCGGCTAAATATTCCTAGCGCGTCAACCAAACAAATTCGGACACAGCTGCGGACTGCTGGGGACTGGCGCAAGGGAGTACCAGATCAACCATTTAGCTCCATCACAACAATACGCCTCTTGCGTCAACTAACTGATCCCAGAGAGGTGCCATAAAGAATGTGGTTGGCCCTGTGGTGGATTGCTTGAAGAACCCTGACGTCCCAGAAAAAACAACAGGGTTCCGGTTTCACAGCTTGCTCTGCATGCGCGCAGCCAGTCTCAGCTGGATGCAGCTGGAACTTTTGCCCCAAGTGCGGGCACAAGCTGGTGTGAGACCTTTGCCTTCGAAGAAAATCGCCTGCTGTCAGGGAACACCTTCGAGTAACGAGTAGAGTTTAAAAGTTTGCAACATCACTCCATGTGACCATGTGAGTTTCATGGGCGATTGCTGGAAACCAACGTTGTCTCCCACGGAAACCCATGCACTCACAGGCTTCCACCTCAGATCAGCATCATGTGTGGGTTGGAACACCACTTAAAGTGCAGCTAGATGTTTGCATTGAGTCTGCACAGGCCGCCTGTTTTGAGTCTAGGGCCCAGCTAGGGGAGGCTTGAAGTGAAGCTATGCCTGTGTTAAGTCCAAGGCCTAGGGAGGCTTGAAGCGAAGCGATGCCTGTGTTGAGTCCAAGGCCTAGGGAGGCTTGAAGTGAAGCTATACCTGTGTTCACTCTAGGGCCTACAAAGGCTTGAGTGTGTTGAGTCTAGGGGAGGCTTGGGTGCACAAGTCATCAGATGTTCTGGGTCAAGACCAAAAAGAAACAAGGACTCTTAAAAGCTTTCAAAAGCCCAGTGTATTCAAACTTGCAAATACAAGTGTTGAAATAACAACTGAAAGTTGAGCGGTTCTCGTCCAACGCTGCGATGCAGCTTCTTTGTTTCTATCCCTGCTTTTCTTTGTTATGTTTATTGGGACCTTTGGTCATAACAATGTTTTCTTGCGCTATGGCCAAAGCTGAGGCTGAGGCCACAAGTTGGAGCCTAACATGTTGGTGGAAGTGAGTTGCGAAGACCCACAAAACTTCCCAGTAGATAGTTAGATAGATAGGTAGATAGATAGGTACATAGACAGATAGATAGTTAGATAGATAGACAGATAGATAGATCGATGGATGGATGGATAGATAGAAAGACATATAGGCATCACCTCCAATAGAAACCAAGATGTACACAGATATGTATAGGCAAGACCTGGGTCCACAAGACCACACAAGTAGCATGAACAATGAATGTGCAACACACATCGGCAACTGCGATTGGTGGTTTCGTGTCTATTGACAAGCACATCGAAGCGTTTCCCATGTTTCCCCCCAAATGCTGTGCGAGCGTGTGTCTTGTTACGTGGTTTGCCTCTGTTTGCGTCTAAAACTGTCGTTTTGCATCAGAAGTGAGGGCTGTAGGTAGTTGACCCTGAAACCTGCCTCTCTAGCTCAGGCTGCACACACGCCTCCACACAAACTGGAAACAAACGATGTGAAAAGCGATGCGACAAAATGATGTTGAACAAGCTGATGTTAAACAGCTGAACCCGAGTCGACTGACCAAACAGAAGACTGCGCAACCACACTGGAAATTTGAAACATTTTCCACTCAGCTATCTCGATATGGCAGGTATTTGGGCGCATGCATTGAAGTGGAGCATGCACTTGAAACTGACGGTCACGCCACTCGAGTCTGCTCTTCTTGCCCTTTCGAAGTTCCAAAGAAGGCGCGCCACCCAAGATTCTAACCCACAAGAATCATTGACGCACACAACTCTCCACTGGTTGAAATCACAGCAAGATTCCCATGGAAGGATCAAGCGCCAAATCCTTCACCAAGGCCACCACCGGGCGCGCAGGCGTGAGACCCTGTGGACCCCAACGGATGCGCAAATCTCCTTGTTCCATGAAGAAAGGGGAACAAACTTGGCGGCGGTAGTCTGTTGCGATTGCACTCCGGACTGCTGATCATCTTCTTCACCCTCACCTTCAGTTACCTTGACTTTGCCTGCAGGAACAAAAGCGACATGATTGTTCACGGTGATCTCCATGGCTGATGGGTCTGAGGAATTGCCAGCCTCTGCAACAGTGTGATAGGCCACACCAGCGGTTGGCTCCTTCTTCCGCTTCTGCATCAGCACCTCCTTCACTGTCCTCAGTGAAGAATTGTTGAGCAAGACCAAGGTGTCAGCCTTGAGATGGTAGAGAAGCTCCTTCTCTGCAGCTGCCTCACTTGGGTTGGTGCAGGATTTGTACTGGCCTTTGCCAAAGCCAGCTACAATGAATCCAGCGCTCAGCTTGCAGCAGGAAGTTCCTGTGTTCAACATGTACACATTGTTCCCGGCCTTGACATGGATCTTCATGCCTTTGTTCTTCTGGTTGATCATGTCAGCCTCCAGCAACTGGTGCTCTGCCCCAATGTCTGCCACTGGGATCTGTTTCTGGTTGGACACCATCGTTCGAAGCTTCTTGATGGCGTTGTCGGCGTTCTTGATGGTGTCTGTCTCATCCATCTTCCTCTTCTTCTTCCCCTCGACCTCAGGCTCACGCATCGGGCCAAACTCCTTGGTCACAGCATCCAGCATAGTTTGACCTCCGGTTGGCAGTATTTGGGATGCATTGCAAATGGGTCCGCCACCCAGGACCCAGCATGCCCGTGGTGTGGTCAGCATGATACACACACACATCATCTACTCGAATGCCAGTTCTTTTTGCCCGTCCGAAAGAAGCATAAAAACGCCGTACAACACCTGAAAGACCATCGTCACTTGTGCTGGTTTCCTTTGCCTGGCCACCATCCTGACCTTGCATTAGTAAGACAAGCAATGCATTTGCGGTCCACGACTTGTGTCACCAATCAAATTCCAACGCTCTCTTCCAACGCCACCGTCTATACAGATGGCACTTGTGATAACACTCGCGACCCCTATACCGCAAGGGAAGGATGGGCAGCCGTGCTCCGTACAGCCCATTTGGCAGACCCTATTCAGTACACTTTTCAGGTTACTGCAGCAGGTCATTGTCCTGGCCACCAGACGATAAACAGATCCGAACTATATGCCCTCCTCGTAGCAGTCGAACAGATCATGTGCACATCTGCCACAGTCCGAGTCCGAGTTACTTTTGTGACTGACTCACAATTTGTTGTGTCACAAGTCATGCATATAGTACATGGTACATGTTCTCAGGCCCCACATAAAAGCTCGCATTGGGATCTGGTCAAACGCCTGGCGGTCCTTTGGGACCCAACAAGATTTCAGATTCAGATCGTTAAGATTGCCTCACATAGGGATATTCAATCCGCCCGTAATTCATCCGAGGCTTGGCATATTAAAGGAAATGATATGGCCGACCGAACCGCTGCTGCGATTCGTGCAAAACCGATGATCAAGAATTTGATGCTTTATGTTCTGCTGTCCAGGGACATTGGCATCATTCCCAGCAGATCTTCTCGCAGATATTGCGTACACTCGAATGGCAACAACTCCCAAGTCAGATAGCACCATACCAGATAGAGGACAGGAGAACCCCCAGCCGACAGATCCTCAATCTTCGCAACTTAGCAGGCTTAGTCAATGGCGTGCGCTAGGAGAACCGTTTGTTTTGCCAGCTGAGCCACATCGAGTTGTTTTTGGGTGTAGTACTTGGGGAGCAAACCTCACGTACATGATTTGGAGACATTGCACAAGTCTTGTTTGGCCAGAGCCCAGCGCACCTGTCACACCGGGTGACCCTGGCATATCCTGGACCGAATTGGCTATCTCATTCATGCATTGGTCTAACCAGTTTCTGCCAATACGCCTTAAAAGTGGTAAAGGATATCTTACGTTGCAGTATAACGACCCTCAGGCCCAATTGCTGCCGGTAAAATCCAAATCTTTACGAGTTCTTGCGGAAAATTTTCGTTGGATAGTCAAACATATTCAAACATTTTCTCGCCAGAAACTTATCCCGGTTTATAAAAAGCAGGGCACCACAAGTCTTACCCGACTGGAGTTCACGTCTTACCATGAAGGCGGGGTGTCTCGCCGTCCCACTTTGCCCAACCCAGATGTGACTTACAAGTACATTAATTAAGCAAATGCTCAATGCGATGCCGCGCGACCCACCCCTATCATACAGACATTCAACCCCCTGCCCTTTTACCGGCCGATTCCTTATGTGAGTGGCCAAATTTGCCAGAAGTTTCCAAAGCTAAACAGGATGCTTTTATCCAACATGTCCGCTATGCACTCTTTCGAGGTAAGCCATTTGATAGCGACAGCGCGGCTGGTGGTTTGACCGTCATTTCGCCAGGTTCTAGAGGCGACTGCAGTCGATTTCCAGGATATATGAGAGCACCAACCTATCCGACCTATCCCATCTTGTTTCTCTCCCCCACCGCCCATGGTGTTGCTGTCGGTTTGTGCAACCGCCTTGCCCAAGCAGGCTGGAAAGGGGCGCACAGGGCTGGTCTGCAGCTGCCTGCTGCTGCGGGAAGGCGGCGCTGGGATTCGCCGGGTGACATGCGGGATCAGAGGATTTTTTTGATTGGTCCGAACTGGGTCAGATTGTGCTTTATGTTTTTTTCCCAAGTTCCTGGGAGCCGCAAATCCAAGTTCAAAGGTTGTAGATTTTGTAGATACCCCTATAGTTGTGTTCTTTACGAATTGGTATTTGGTCATGTAGAATCTCGATCAAAATGGGAAAAACCTCACATGAAATTTCACATTTCCATGTGTTTGGAGAGGGGGGTTGTTGTGGGGGTTGTGTATAATCTAAGAATTCTACATGGAACTCTATAGCGCTGGAAGTGTGACGTGGGTTTTGTCAGGTTTGGTTTGATTCTACGCCACATCGGGACATCCCGGCCCTGCGATTTCTTCCCAACGGGATTGGACCGCTTTGTCGGCGGCCTACATGGACCCTGGACATCCCAGTTTCATGGAGTGTGTGGGTTTCTATTAAATATCGTATTTTGGTACCTGGACCATCCAATCAATGGGTGTACTGGCTGGAGATTCCGGATAGGTGTAGTCCAGACGCCTAGACAGGATGCTCCTGGCATATTCGGTTCCTCTTCTTTTTCCCAACCGGCCGGGCACTGATTCACCCCCCTGGCACTCGCCAGGCTTGCAGACGAGTGCCACCGAGGCTTGTTTGTGAGTTTGCAGGTGAACACCGGGCACGTTTCTTCATGGATTCGCTCCAAACGGGCGCTGTAGACAAGCTGGATGATGTTTCCCCGTGGATCCCAAAAATTCCACATCAACCAGGGGCGGTCTCCATCGGTCTATAGTTGGAGTCGTTTGGAACCACCGGTGACCTGGAGTCGTTTGGATGCCCTGGGTTTAGGTTGCTTTGCCCAGGAATATGTTTGCTTGCAGATCATTTGGGACTGAGAATTCTTCAAGAGTTCAGTTCCAGCAGTTTTGTCCGAGAATATTTGGGGGGGGTGACCAACACCTTGAATTAATAAAACAGTTTGACCGAAACACTGCGTCGTATTGCCAAGTCAAGTAGTCAGACGGGAGACGTGTGGAGTTCGGTTCGCCAGCGAATCCAAGGCCAAAGACCCTCCAAGACATGTGTGGATTGTGGAAGTACGATCCTGGAGATGTGACGGGGTGACACTCTTCTATATCTCCTTTAGGACAGGTTTGTGTGACACCCTTCTGGGACACTCTTGTAAAGCACTCTTTTTTTGAAAGAGCTTACTCTCCCGGGCATGGCGCCCTTAAGGTTTTTCCTCGTGGCACCTTAGGTGGAGCCCAATTCTTTTCTGACCTTCCTGTACCTCTCACGTGAAAACCTGGGGAGGTCCAGACAGCCATAGACAGCCTTAATGACAGGCTGAGACCAGAAGCAAAGCCGCAAAACCCATTGGTTTTAGGTTTGGGGGTTCCATATGGTTCCATGTTAATAAATGGTAATCTGCAGGGGAGTCGCAGGGGAGTATATGAAACTGACCCATCACAGTTAACAACCTGCTTGCTGATTGCTTGGACACCGAACTCGTGAATGCCCCACATCTCCCACCATCTCCCACCCGACCAGCTGACTTTTCTCACCCACTTGAGGGCCCCTTCGTCCGAGTTCCCCCCCGCTGTGACGGTGCCTTTCGAGGCCTTGGAGACCTATGCAGAGCGCCGGACGCACGACCGCAAAGGGATCACCATCCCCAGCCAGATCCGGCACCTCGGCAGTCCGGGGAACCCGGCGCGGGCAACACGCCCGGGTGAACGCCGCGGAAGACGGAGCGTCGACTGGGGCGGAAGGAAAACGCTGGGGTGATGGAGTTGGATGTCTGAAAAATGTAGGGAGTTCGGGAACCATTTGGGTAAGGCGAAGTCTGTGGACGCAAAGAAAACGGCGTTTTCGAAGGGATATGGAATGATGTTCCACAGTGGATTTTGCCAGGTTCTTAGTCTCTACCTAACTTACTGAGACTCACTGAGGAGCATCACAATATCGGCAACTGGAAGATCAACACATCCTTCATTGCAAGTCATTTTTACCCCAGTCGCTCGAAATCAACGGTGTGGCAGAGTTTCTGTCACGCACACGCTGTGGCAGTTCACACCGAGGTACGTGAAGCTCTATGCGCAGATCTTGCGCGAAGGCTTCATCCGAACTCAGTCGGTTCGCCTCAAGAGCGCTCCTTGGGTGAAGCAAAACGAGGGTGAATAAACCATACCGCGCGAGACGGGAGCGAAGACCCACGTGACGTATTGTGTGGTCGAAGATGGGCGTCGGATGGGTGTGGCAATATAATAGACCATAATAAAACATGTAATGGAACGACATGTAAGCGATGCACAATCAGTGCCTTTTTTGGATTTTTTTGGGTCAATGGTAGGTGCCTATCATTCTTCAATAGGCACAAAGACTGTTCTAATTGGCTCACTACCCGTACCCAATTGGTCAGTTGTGGCTCACAACTACCTTGTATTGAGGTACCTGAAAGTCCATGCCAATTCTGATGCTCAATTACTTGTTTAGTTGCGAACACGAACACCTTCCCGCAACAGCCATAGAGTCGTCCAGATCATTGGCCAGGAAACTTTTTCATAATCAAAACTACACTTTTTCTCCAATGCCGCGTAGCCTCCAAGCTAAGAGCGATGGCCTCCAAGCTACTAGCGATGGCCTCGGCCTAGTCACACGTCTTTGGAGTATTAATTACTGTAGCTCTCAGCTTCTTTTCCAGACTAAAGGCAGACTGATGGAGGGTCGTCCTCGAAGACTCTATTTAGCTATTCAGTCCCTTGTAGCACCTGTTCTGGACACACCTAAGGTTGTGTTATGTTTTGTATTTTGTTGACTTGAGTAAGCATTATGTTTTATCAAGTGACTTGTTTCTTAAGGTGTTTGAGCGTTCTTTGAGATCCAGGGCTCAAAGTTTGGAAACACTCTGACAACCCATAGATTCTGACACCGTTTGTTTTTAGTCAGTCCAAGGTTTGCGAAGGTCAGCGATTGGCTCTTTCTTGAGTTTGTCAAGGATTTTAGAAGGTCAGCCGGATTGGTGTTTTTCACATGGGTATTCATAAACATCATAAACCTGTTCTGTTCAAAACTTCACCTGGATCTTTGCTGCACGAGTTCTGATGTCAAAGATGTTTGATCCCTTCGATCTTGCACGGAGAATTCATGATGTATACTATGCTACCCTTCCCCTATGGGCCCACATGCTTCAAGACAATCACCGACATTTAGATACATTAAGCATACATCACAGCAGAAAGCCGTGTATTTTTGTCCAAAAGGGTAATAGATGTGGATCAAGTATGGGGACAAACCTTTCTATACTTGAAGTGTCAAACGCTTACCTTCTTCGATGTAGGTCGTCGTGCGACCCACATGTCCAACTTGAATTCTTTGAGGTGTGATGGAGAACGGAGAACAGGAATAGGAATAGTTCGAAGGATAATCACCATAATACAAAAGAACATGTGACACCCCTTTGCATTCCGTATGTTCTTTGATCTGGTGATGCTTCAGGGTTCGGGTAGATCCCTCATCAGGAAAGCGAGTTGCTTGGTTCTGGCGCTCGTCGTTGGTGTGGACCGTTCTCAAGTTTCCTTGCACTCACACGCGCACGTGAGAGACAGGTTTTGCTTCAGAACTTCCTGCAACTGCCTGGATATCGGTCCTCCTCTTTTCAAGTGCCTTTGCCTGCCAAGAGGGAACAATTGGGACATGGCGAGATAACGCAGGGACATATTGTCAAGAGTCAAGTTCATCTATTTCCGTGGAAATGTCAATTCAAGTCGTGGTTTTAGGTTTTTTTTTGATGTGCTTTGGCACATCCATTGCACATAAGAGATTGTGATTGCTCAGGGTTTGAACACTTGTTTCATGAAGAGTGGTCAGGGAGAAACTGGCTGTGCGCAGCGTTTTCTTCATGAGGTTTGTTGTGACACACTCTCTAGGTAGTTTTTGCAATTGGAATTTATATATAGATGTTTGTCTCTATATAAAGAGAAATCCCCCAACAGGTCTGGGCCATTCTTTTTTCTGACAGGGAACTTTGTGTTTGGAAGGTGCTTGATATGACAGTACTCAAATCCCAGATTTCTTCCTAACAGTTTGTTCTATTTGGGGGTATTGTCCTAGATTGAAGTGCTATGCCGGTTTGGTGCTTGGATTGGACACTGCGGATGCCAGCGGCACACGCCACGCCTTGAAAACTCGAGACCTCGACCGCAGCAAGTGACAAAGTGATCCCCCTCGGTCCCTGGCGCCACTCCTCGGCGGGTTCGGAACGAGGTGACTTGGGATTCGATGGTGGTCCGCACAACGATGAGTAGCGTCGGAAACAGGCGAAACGGGCTCCTGTCCCACATCCAAAGGTGGTGAGAGCCCCCCCATCCCCAAGGCATCGCTTCCCGAGTTGAGCCCTTTTGAGGGGACCGATCGGGATCTGCCACCTGCCACCTGGGTGTGGCACCCGGTGGAGGCATCCGTTCAGGTGGAGGTCCGGGATCACGAGAAACACGTCCTCTTCAGCTCCGGCTTCGGCTGCGCGGCCTTCGCGCGCCAGGTGCGGGGCCGGGATGGTCTGGGGAGTGTTCGATTCCGGTGATGGCTGGGTGAGCCATGGGGAGCCATGGCGGGAGGAAGTGTGATTCCCGGACACCGGACAGGGGCTATTCATGGACACCCTTTCCGTGGTGTTGGTATGATTTGGAAGATTTAATACCTATTGCCGATACATTCATCCCTCAAGAACCATCCCAACATTGGTAAATATATGCCATACCAGGAGTGTTTTGGATGGCTATTTTTTGGGGGGGCGGGGCCGTGCTAACTGGTGTAACCTTTCTTTGAGTGCGGGCCTTTGCGAACGCCGGCCATATCAAAATCCGCACATATTCCGAAAGTTGAAATCCGTAGGATTCCGTAGATCCAACATGAATGAGATTCCCCTTCAAATCCAACATCAGATCCGTATTAGTATGATTCCCCCCCAACATTCCAACTTCGCCATCGTCTCACCAAAGCCTTTTTCATCCTTGTTCACTTGTGATTGAATATTGATCACACGACTATATCACACAAATCCGTCTTTTGACCTTCCAACTTGGTCTTAGCCCGTCAAAATAAACTCGGTGCGACTCGCTGTTTCACCAACCCTGCGCGGTCTTCTCGAAGACTTAAAAAAATTAGTAATAAGTATAAGTGATTATAAGTGCCTGTTGATGAATCACACCCTCCCCCCTCAAGAATTACAATGGAAAATGTATGAGACATTTCAAGCTGGTGCGAATGAAATCGAGGTCTAGAAGCTGGTGCGTGTGTTTCTCTTTTTTTGTCACCTGGTGGTTTACCATCAAACATCAGTGATGTTTGTCTCTCCCCGGATAGAACCAGACCCGGTCTTCCTCCCATCCTTTCTGAGGCGCGCGTCGACTCGGCGGAGTCCAATGGCTCCGAGACCTCCGATGGCGAGGCCGAGTCGTCGCAGGGCTCCGAGGCGGGCGGCGGAGGACTTCGACAGGTGAGGGCGTGAAGGTCTGTCCGAACTGACCTGCACCTGAACAAGGCCTGCAAGTTAGGCCTGCAACCTGCACCTGTCTGTCCTATAACAGTCAGTAAACAAGCAAATCATCATTTTGGAACAAGGCCCGCAACCTAACTTTTCTGACCATCCTCATCCACTGAGGCGCAGGTAATAGGATAGAGCCAATTAATATAGTCTAGATAACAAGCACGTGTTCTTTTTTTTTTCCAAAGGGGAACAGGTGGTGATGATGATGATGATGGTGATATTATGTTGAAGGTATGTGAAAAGGGAACCTGAAAGGACGTGACCAACCTTGATATCTCGGGTCGGGGTCAATTACTTGGACCTGTAAATGGTCACCGGTTGGGCCTCCAAAAAGGTTGCTTTGAAGAAGCTGACTTGAAATGCACCTTGGGTACACGGAAGAGAGAATTATCACCCCCCCAAACAAAACAAACATATCAATGATAATATTGCAAGGTAATAGTCCTGAAGGGGGACGAGAAAGGTCATAGTTTTGTTTGGGCGAGACATGCACATCATGAGCCGTGAGCAGGTTTGCTTTGCACATCGAAAGATTTGCAGGACAGTTTTTTTAAAATGCAGATTCCATTCATATAATTGTTCAACAATTCACGCGGGCCTGGTTCGGGTCCTGTGTAGGTTTGTGTACATTTTTTTTTAAGTATCACATTCTAGGATTCTGGTGCAAATCCCGAGGGTCCTTGCACGACCAAGGAATGTTGGTTTGAAAGAAGTCATCGAAAGTCCTGCAGGGGCTGGAAATGGAAATGCTCTACGGTCCGGTCCCTATCGTTCTGCTCTACGGTGTGTGATGTGCTTTCTATGTGGATTTGGCTGTCATGGCACCAGGGTCGACCGACCGGTTGACCTACCCGTCTCAGTCGTTTCTAAAGCCAGGCTGTTCTCAGCCAAAACCGACGGCGTCTCCGCATCAGGTGGGCTGTGCGAGCCCTCCACTCGATGCGGGGGCACGCCGATGCGTGGGGCAAGCAGATGCGGTGGCCACTCAGAGGAGCAATTACACTCCTTGAATTCAAGGAAGTGCGTGGCTCTCGGTCCTTTGAACGACCAGATTCCTTTGCAATGCAGGTGGTTCTGAGTGGACTGGGAGGAACCCCCCCAAAGATCACTGGGAAGAGGATGACAAGAATGCATGGACCAACAAACACTGGAGCATTGGTGTCAACTAGTAGGCTCGCTTTATTAATCTAAACACTGAAGCATTGGTGTCAACTAGTAGGTTCGCTTTATTCATCTTTCGTCCAAACATGCCCAAATGGTCACACCAGCTAAGTGGAACTGTTTGTTCACTGGGGTGTGAGGCTGAAAGTGGAACTGAACTGGCAGTTCTGGGACAGCAAGGTAGGCAATCTAAGCTCGGTCACGTAGGCCCCAATCGTGATATCTTCAATATCACATGCAACAAGTGCTGGCTACGATCTCCAAGAGTTATCATTATATACTGGTTCCCAGAAGTTTGCAAAAAAAATTATGCGAAGGCATGTGTGTCACGAAGGCTTTGTGAAGGGAGCTGCGAAGGTTTGTGTCCAGTATTTGGATTCGATGGGCCTGGTAAAGCTGCTTAACAGAATAGATCAGGAGAGGCTTGCAGTCTTTGGAATCGCATCATGTATGCCTCTACCCTTGCTTGGAAATGCAACCTTGCACCATTGATACAAAGATACAATAAGTATCAATAAGTTACTTCCTGGTTGGAGCGGTAGTCAAAGCAGTCTTGTTTTGAGGATTTTGAGGTTGGTCCAAGGCGTTTAGCATGGGAGCACAACAGGCTTAACAGCTAGAACCAATGAGCCCCTTCTTGAGGTTTGGTATCAATTACAAGACTTAGGACGAGGTAGGACATATTTGGGGAATAATCGATCCATCCATCTCCAGCATCTTCATTGTTCTTCCTACTTTGTTTGAGATGTGTCGCGAGGTCTGGAATTGAAAGAACCTTGCTCTCTAAAGCCACCCCCAGCTCCGAATATAGGTAGTTGCACATACTCGACCAATGGGCCTTTTAGACCATGTGGAGCAGCTCAAAAACTGTGGTATATAACTGTATAAGTGACAAGAACATAGGCCCAAACGGTGTATACACACCCTTTCCCTCACGGATGGCCGGGGGATGCCCTTCACTTTGCTGTGAGGCCGTTCGATTTGAGGTCCTTGAATTGGAGATGCCGCTGCTTCCGGACGACTTTCAGGTGGTGCTCAGACACTTGGCACACCAAAAACCGGTTTCGATGGACGATGTGAGGGCCACGAAACATGAAGACACGCCGGTTTCGACAGCCTGCGGGAAGCCGATGTCCCGGAAGCCAGACATGGTGCTCAGACCTGTGGGGACTTCAGAGGGACTTTTGGTTCCTCCAGAATCCGGTGCCATGAATCGGATCATTCCAGAGCTTCTTCTCGGACAATTCGAATCCCAGAATCCAAAAACAGGTGTAGAGTCCAAGCAGCTCCATGACCCGACAGGACCCGGGCTTGGCGCCGCGCCCAGAGAATCCAGTTTAGACTGGGCAGTTGGGGCTGGTTTGAGGGGTCAATATATGTGACAAGTGATAGTATGTGTGAGAGGAAAACATCATTCGGAAGTTCGGAATGGCTGCAAAGCCTTGGGAGTGAACAAACATGAACAGCGTCCCCTTGGTGCCCGAAACGATGGGATGAGACATGGGATCGTCGAGGACCTAGGATTGGCTGCTTAAAACTTCTGGGTACCATCGAGACATATCCAGAACTCATTGCTTTTCTGGAAGAGACCATATTTAGTCATCCTGGAGTAGATAGAAGATGGATGAATATGCAAAAATCCATGAAATATGAGTTAATGTCACAAAAAAACTGGGAAACTGCTCCTGGATGGGTATACCTATTTATATATATATATATATCCAAAAACCATCAAAACGGACCGCAACCGCTTCCGGTCCCGCCGCGGGGCCCGCTTCAAACAAGCCGCCGCTTCTCAGGGCGTCGCTATGCGACCTGGTGCGGCCTGTCGCAGCAGGTCCGGGCAGGGCTCGTCCTCGGACGTTGTGAACAGCCGGGCTCGACGACTGGGCGGACCAGGACACTTGCCGTCCGTTGTCAGGTGAGGTTCAACATGGTTCAACCATGATGTTCAGCATGAAACAAGGTCCTTAATGTGATTCGGAGGGGATTTGGCAACGAAACACGACCACAGAGTTGCTTGAGCGTCATTTTCCAATTGTTTTTCCCAAACAGTTTACTCAGCCCGCTCTGGGCACATCACCACTGCTCGCGCAAACGCGACGAGATGGGCCATCAGAGGGGTGCTTCTTCCAACCATGTTCGTGACACAAAGGGAGTGCATGCCCTCTGATCACTTTGATTGCCCTTGACTGATTTGGACCAGGTCATGTCGTGGAAACATCTCGCCGATGCTTTGCTTGAGCCTGCAACTCCTCACTCAGCCCATGGGATGTGCGGCACGTTGACTGGAGTGCCCGACGTTGGGTTTCACACTGATGCCCGACTCGCCTTCGCCGAGCCGCGGGGAATCAAAGGGCGTTCTGTTGACTGCTTGTTGGGCACATGTTTGATATGTTTGGTGATTCTGATGACACTGCCAGGAATGGCCAGCTTCACTTCACTTTACTGGCATCATCATGTTCCTTGTGACTGGGATTGATCCTCTTTTGTCTCGTCACCAATCACCCGCGATACAGGATGACGGCACAACTATAGTTGATGATGATGATGATGATGATGATGATGATGATGATGACGGTGATATCATGCAGCAGACCTGCTTTCCAGGCAACCCTGAGTTTGCCACCGCACTCTGGTGCTTCGGAATGACAGGCACCCAGATTGCTTGCGGATGTCAGTAGTCATGCTTCCGTCCCAACAGCGGAAGGTGAGGTGTTCAGTGCTCAAACCAGCTGTGAGCCGCGTGCTCTGAGGTGGGGGGTTTTCCAGAACCAAAGTCCGCGGGTGACTTCATTGGTCTTCGTGTTCTAAAGGCTCTCGCGCGCGCGCTCTCTCTCTCTCTCTGTGTCTATGGCCTTCGCCAGATTCCTGCGTCATGCTCGGCGAGCCGCGAAGCGTCTCTATCATTCTCAAACTTCTCGCGGCACCGCATATCACCCAAAAGATGTTTGTTAATCTTTCAACCGTTTATATACTGTACACCCTAGAAGAGGTCCACATGGAACCTGAAAACCTGCACGGGATGAGATGAGGAACATTGTCTTCCAAACGTCCATACCAAGCCCGGTTCCATGTGGGCCCAGAAGCCACCGCCATTGGGGTGGCCATGCTGGCCGTGGCCGTGCTGGTCTGAGTATTCCATCGCCTTCAGGCCGTCTAAGACCGCCGAGTCCGGAGATGGCTGGCCCCATCAAAGTATCAACTGGGAGGTGGTGAAGAAAACGTGAACACCTTGAAACTTCTCGGAAACTCAAGGTCAGTATTAGGAATATGATTTTTCAACCAGCAACATCCAGCAAGCATCCAAAGCTTACGGGATCTTCGCATCTCCGTTCTTTAATGTTCTCTATAAATCTATATTGTTTCAGGTCTGGACCCCTGCCAGATTCCTTCAAGCGAGGTCCTGCACAGAATCGTTTGCCAAATAGTCCTAGTTGGTGCAAAAGAGTCGAGCCTATGGGCAGAAACACCCATGGCTGGGCTCGTGGCTGATGGATATTTTTGCTAGGTGGATGTGATGTGCTCCTTCTGGCTGAACAGCGGCTACGTCTCTGAAGAGATGCATCTTCCGCTGGCCGAGTTGGACTACTGCCGAAGCTTGCAGCACTTGCGGCTCCGCTGCGAATACGGTCATGTCGACACCAGAAAATGCTACTGTCGTTGGATGTCCTTGGATGGGCTTAAATTCCTAGCCGGAACCCCTGAACTCTTTGTTTAAAATGTACATCCGCCCCTTAAAGCACCCAATGTAAAGTAGACAAAGATCAAGCTATGATTTTTGCTGTTAGGGCAAAGTCTACTAGATTTCCTGTTCCTTGCAAATCTCCAATCGTGCAAGCTCTTTGCATGGCCCAGGTGTGTTCCTGTGTATCTTGGCTCAAACGGGCGTGCAAACCCAGCGAGGGTGGGCTTCAGGCCTGCTGCAGGTTGCTTCGCAATGCTTTGCACGTCATTGATGACCAAAACAAGAAATGTGTGTGTGTATTTCAAAAGAGAGACCCCCTGGCCCAATAGGTAGACCAGTCTGCTTTATTCCTTATTCTAGGGGTCGAACTGGGAGGTCTCCCTATTTTAATACACATCCAAATGAATGCGATGAAGGCTTTGAAGCGTTCAAAACTTTAGGATTCCAGATGCTTGGTCGTGGGTGATGTAGTCTATTTGTCTCCTACTTTGTCTCCTTTCACCCGGTGCTGTGTCACCATTCTCTTGATCATTCCATTTGGGGGGTTCTTTTTGGTCATTACCTGAACACGGAATGGCAGGATACATAACTCGAGAATGACGCTTCGCTGAGAACCGTGTGCATACAACGCTGAACACCTCCTACCAGGACCCACGGTCCGTGTGGTTAATGGACACCAATCAACCTCCAAGGGGCTAGTAATAAACAAACATACACACCCCCGTGAAAGGCGCTGGTACTGGTTCAGTGCTGATGTTGTTGCTTTTCATTCTTTGATTTGAAGTTGGTCGAGCCAGACCCCTTTTTTGGACTTTTACAAACAACTGGTGTGATTCCTTTAAAGTTAGGTACATATAGCTAGGTATCAAGTATCCGAATAACTGAGACGCCGAATATTGGATCGACCCGACCCTTCTTTAAAAACGAACAAGTAGGTGGGGGAGGTGGCATTTTCCGCTTGCATTGAGTTATTCGATATTGCGCCCAGCGGATCACACGATTTCCAAATCTACCAGCTGGTTCCCCAAAGGCGCACGTCTCGGTTTTCGACAAGAGGTGCGATTTGCTGGACGCGCATTCGCTTGCTGGTGGAACATGTTGGCACACCATGCTCACCTCTTTCTGCTGATTTTCGTGGTACTGGCGCGCCTCTCTAAGGTATGTGGTTGGCAGTTGCCTTTTTTGGTTCATCTGGTCAATGATTCCAACCAAGCTTGGCTAGGGATTGTGCATCCTTCGAACCCTCCTCCGGCAGGTCGAATGTTCCATCACCCAGCATCCAACTTCGCTGTCGCCTTCTCTCGGCCGTGCTGGGCATCCGAACCCCGCTGGGGGCGGGCCGCGTGGTCCAGGGCAGGTGCGAACGAACCCCAAGGCTCCCGAGGCCCGATGAGGCCAGCGTGGTGTGCAGCTTTGAGTGCCGGGCGCTCTCATAGCCAGACCGGAACGAGCACGCAGTGGTGGTGTGGATCAAGAATTGCCTGGTTCTAAAGAGAGAAATCGAACACAGAACGTGCAGACTCAAAAAGCCCAACGTCCGCGCTATAGGGGCCAACATGAACGGCGCAAGACGCGCCCCCCCGCGGGCGGTGGACGCCTTGAAGGCTGTAGATGAGACCTTTGGAAGCACGCGGTCTTTCCTTGGATATTGGGGAGGTTCAAAGAGGATTAAGAAGATTTAAGAAGGATGTGTGCCCAAAACCATAGTTGCGACAAGGCGGCACAAGCTCTTTGCAACTGTTTGCCAACAACCTAGGATCTCCTAGATGTCCTTCGCAAGTCGTTTCTCTCAAAATTTGAAGTCAACACCAAACACCTCCAAAAACATGAGAGGCTCACATCCCATGCCGCCCATTCCCTTGATTATGTGTGAAAACAGGGTTCAACAAGGACAATTGCACGAATTGCACATTGAACTTTGTCCCATCCCGCGTCGCGTCGCTTGTTCTGGGAGCTCGTCACGTCGCCGCCGGAACCCGCCACGGGTTTGGGCCCTTGCTCCCGCGGGCCCTGCTCCGTTCGATGTTTTTTGTTGAGCGTTGATGGTCAGCGGTGGTAGTACTGTGATGTTTGCATTTACCTTTGTGTGATTTTGTGTGCTTGTATACTAAGGGAAAGATGAGAAAGGTATACAGACAACATTCGGAGTGAATTGTTGGGGTGCATCCTCGATGAACATGTCAATAGAGACATGCCTCCACAAAGCCCATGAAACACGTAAGCCAGAAAGGCTTCGACTGGATGGGGTTGCCAATGGACATGAACGTTCCCACAATTCCCAACTGATTTTTACTTGCTTTTTGTGCATGGCTGAGTAGAATCCGGGGGACATGACTGAAGGCAGAACCACCAGTGAGCCTCATTATAAGAGGGGTGTCCATCACCAATGCAGGATTGAAGAGGTCCTGAAGCCTCAAGGTTTGGTGATTTGTTCAGAGGATGTTTCAGCAAGATGCACTCCGACTCACTAACATGGAAGTGGAATCCCCTCCCCAAGTTGCAGAGAAAAGTAAGTTTCTAGAACCCCCATCCACGTCCGTGTTCCTGAGTCTGAGTGTAGTTTTTGGTTGCTGACTCGGGGAGCTTTGTGAAAGCAAGCCAGGGTATGCCAGGGTATAAATGACAAAGATGTGAAGAGCGCGCTTGAAAACATGATGGTGCCATGAGTGCCATGACCCATAACGGAGCAGTGCTGTCGCGGGTGGGAGAAGCTCGCGAGAAAAAGGATTGTTGGCAGAGATGGATTCTGATGTAGAGCCTTTGAAGAAGAAGATGAAACATAGTTTGGTCTCAACATGTCTGACCCATATTTTGACTCAAGCAGCAAGACCCTGCAATTCACAGTTATTGTTCGTCCGGTTCTACTTTTCACATTGGGATTTAGGGTGTCACATCTTCGTTTCCAGTCACTCTCGGGTGGGAAAGCTCCGAACGAAGCAAGCAGGTCCCACCCCAGGGGGCCCCAGGGGACCCTGCCCATAGGGTACCTCCGTTTCGGACGGTCGGTCGAGGTGAGTACAAAGGACATCCGAGAACGGATGGTCCTGGACCCTTAGGCTTGATGTCAGGTGAGAAACAGCATCAACGACCTTGATGCATGGGAATATGAGGGTGACATCATACTTGGAACTTTCTTTGAATAGACGCAGACTAATCAAAAACATCGTTTCTGTCCCAGCTCCCCAAAACCATGTGAACTGAACTGGTGTGCGCTTTCGAGGCAACCAACATCATTCAACCATTCGTTGCACCGACAGAATTAGTAAAATGTTCCGTGGTTGCCTTTGTGTTAAATTTTGATTTGCATTGAATGTTCTTGTCCATGAATTTCCAAAGGAATGGGTTTTAGTCCCATCCAGTGAGTGGATGTCCTGGGCACTCTTATTCTCTAAGTTCGGCACCCCGACATGGAATTGCTGGTCTGTGAATTTCCATTCCAAATTTGATGGTCAGCGTCCCTAGGGATCCAGTCGTACCGAACCTCAGAAGGTACGACTGGACCCTCCAAACCTACATAACAGTGTTTCCAATCACACCTTCTGAGAAGGTAGGACTGTTTTTTTTATACGGCTTGATCTTCAGGGCCACCAACGGTCTGATGGTACTTCCTTGGATCCCATGGTCGAATCGTGGCCAGCGCTATACTGGCACGAGACTGAGACTCAGACACTCCGAAGACCATGAACCAACATGTTTGGGTCAAAGTTTGACATGGAAGAAAAGCACAGACCTGGACTCCACCATTTCAGGACATGGTTTTCAAAAAGGACATGGAAGTCTTTCCTTCGTCACCTTTGTCACCCTGTTCGTTCACTCCGCGTGATCCAAAAAGAGGTGTGTTGATTATCGATGGCCTCCCGAGGCTCGGACGGACTGCTACGAAGTCACCGAGGAAGAATTTGAGAGGCCGGGATCGGGTGCGATCGGTGTGGTTGGTGTGAACTGCGATCGGTGCTGACACGTCAGCCATGATGTTTTTCCCCAGATAGCTGCAGGCTATAGGGGTTCCAACTTCTCAATGGTGCTGGTGCTGGTGCAGGCGTTTTGGTTTTGCGGGTGCTGCTGCTGGTGCTGGTGCAGGCGCTGGCTCTGGATAGGCATTTCGTTTTGCGGGTGCTGCAGCCGTGCTGGTGCTGGTGCTTTGGTTTTGCGGGTGCTGCTGCCGTGCTGGTGCTGGCTTTGGATCGGCGTTTTGTTTTGCGGGTGCTGCTGCCGTGCTGGTGCTGGTGCTCGGCGTTTTGTTTTGCCAGTGCTGGTGCTGGTGCAGGTGCTGGTTCTGGATGGGCATTTTGTTTTGCGGGTGCTGCTGCTGTGCTGGTGCTGGTGCAGGCGCTGGCTTTGGATCGGGGCTTCGCTTCGCGTCATGCCGGGGATGACATCAGGTCACGCCAGGGATATCATTTCATGACTTCATGTCCTGCCAGAAATGACATCATGTCATGCCCAGAAGGACATCATGTCATGCCAGGGATGACATCTTGTCATGCCCAGAATGACACCACGTTATGCCAGACATGACATCATGTCATGCCAGGGGCGACATCACGTCATGTCAGGGATGACATGATGGCATATCCCGTGACACCGTGTTGTGCAGCAATGATCATCTTGTTGTGCAGCTCTTAGTGTTTTACGTCTGTGTTGGGCAAAGCGGGCGCATTCAGCTGATAGATGTTTCGCAGATTAGTGGACTGGTCTAGCCGTCCGTGGCGTGTCCTCTAGGCCTATACACCCGCTATCTGGGGTCTGTGCCGGTGTATTTTCCCAGGTACTCAAATACTCTCAGAGACACTTTAGTCGCATCAGTGTGCGCAGCATGTTGTAATTACTTGCGTCGAAGGCTCTTCTGGAAGTCGCATCGGTTTTCATTATTCCATGCTGTTCGAGAGTTTGAGGACATGCAACAAGCACATATTCCAGCTATTCCATTGGTTTACGGTGACTGTCACATAGATAACCTTTTCTCCCCAGATAGCGAGAGCTATTGGGGTAGTTGTTGCAGAGTCTGTTGCAGTTCTTACGTGTGTGGTAGTGTGCGCTTTGAAGCCTGAGTGCTGGTACCGCTTCAGGGGCTGCTTTTGGAGGCTGGGTGCTGGTGCCGCAGCACCGTTGCTGCTGCCAGATGTTGATGGCCGTGTGCGGTTTTGGCGCCGCGCTGCTGCCGCTGCGAGATGTCTAAGTCTATGGCCGTATGTGCTTAGTTGCGCTTGGCGTGTCACGAGGCATAGTTCAAGCTGCTCCCTCCTGCCAGTGGTGCCTGGTGCCTGCTGTTTGTGTGCAAAGCGCGGCCGGAAGACATGCACGAAGCAGTGCGAACTCAGGGGATACATTTGTCTGGCACCCTGTATCATCGTGCAGAACGCTGAAGTGCTGGCCGGCGCAGCGCCTTGTGATCGAAATCGCCACTGTGCCGCTGCTGCCGGGACGGCAAAAAGGATTGATGCAGGGCGACGTCTTACCGAGGAAAGTGACCCAGAAGCTTCTGAAAGATGCGGGCGTTGAAGACTCTCTGGCATTTCCAAAAATCTGAGCAAAGTTTTGCGAAGTGCGGAAAATGCGGTCTTAGTAACGCGCGAAAAGTTTCATGTCATGGTTGGCAAATGCTGGCAGGACCGCACCGGTTTCGACAATAGCGTGGCGGCGTTGAGCTGGGTTCGTGGAAAAGGATGGCGCATTCAAATGCTGGACTCGGGGACCACGATGTTCAGAGCTCAAGGTGGACACGGTGGCGGAATTCCAGGTCAAGGACAGATCGAGATCATGTACACATGTGCAGTCATCCATGCATCGCATCAGTCCACTCAAACATCCATGCATCACTGCAATCAAACATCAACTCCAATGGTATCAGGAGTGTGGGAGTCCCAAGACTGGAACCACAAATGGACAAGGAGCTCTCTGGATATCCAGGCATCGCCACTTCATGTTGTCACTTCATGGCTGCGTGAATTCCTAGCCTCCATTGAGCTTCAGAGCGCCTAAATCAAAAAAGATTGCTCGGAAAGAAACATGTCTCAGGGCAACGGCCATGTACATGTTGGATTTTTTCCGGCTGAAGTTGAGAATATAAAGGGGTCCTTAGCAAGCAGCGCGCAAGAAGATGAACAAATACGATAAACTTACGAAAGAGACGCGGCCACACCAACTTTTAACGCATTTGGATCACTTTTGAGTATTATATTTCGGTTAAACTTGTGTTGTATGTGAGCAAAATGTTCTTGAGTCGTGTGTGTTTGATATTTTCCCTGCTTTCTTGAAGTTTGTATGACCTCGAGCCGAAAGACGTGGCAGTGAGGGTGTTGCTGTTTGTGTGCTGCTGCTGGTGTTCTGCTGCTGTGTGTTCATTGTGTGTGTGCTGCCGCTTGTGTGCTGCTGCGTGTGTGCTGCTGCTTGCGTGCTGCTATATATATGTATATGTGTGTGTGTCATGTCCTGTTCCAAAGGCCTCTGGCACCACCTGAGTTAAAATGTGCAGTTGCAGGGGATGGAGACACCTGT